TCGAATTCGACTCGGAAGTCAGGCAGAAGTTGCTGCGCGACCTCGTCGGACTGTTCCCGAACGCTACGAACATTCATTCGCTGGACTTGACGTTCCAGGATGGGCGCGACGACGCAGGCCAGGATGCGTGGAAGAGCATACTTTGTGCCTTCTCTGCTCTCCACTCAATCGCATTGCGGGGAGCCTCTTGCAAGGGGCTTCTCCTCGCGCTCAGCCTGGAGGATATGTGCCCTCAGCTTGAGCATCTCGAGCTTGGACCGGAGACGTGGGACCCTGAGGAGTTGCTGCAGTTGGTGTCGACTGTCGAGCGTCGCGCGAGAGGAGGGTATCGGCTGGAGAGAATCACGTTGATACGGCTCGGGTCTGGAAATAGGGAGGTACGAGAGGGTGGCGGGGTGGTCTTTACTCCGTCGGATGACTGCGTGAATCGTCTGCTAGCTTATGTTCAATGCGTGGATGTGTAGTGTTAGGCGAGTTTCAGTGTTCTCTTATGGCACCCTGGGTGTGCGATGATGCGGACCTAGTGATCCGAATTCAAGGGATGCAGCAAACGCCGTATGTTACTCAGTTGTGTACTGGTACGCTAATAGTAAATACTGCACTTCAGTGACACCAGTGAATTGGCCTGGCGAAAAGTCAAGTCTGCGCTCTATCAGGCAGAGGATCAGAGCTATACGAAAAGTTAAGTGAGCAAGATGATATACATGCAGCATTCGACTACATACTCACAGGACATCATCCAGCATGGGGCTCGTGACGACTTCTGGGATGAACGCCTGCAGCCGAGCGAGTCGCTTGGCGGATAGGGGCGTGCTCTTCTTCTGTGCTTCCGTGGAATACGAATGTCGTGGCTTCTGGTGAAACTCGAATCTTCGTAGAGGTGTCCCTCGCGCCACGCGGCACTCAGCCATCGAGACCACGTTCTCATGCATACCTCTCCCGTTCGAGCAGTGTATCGCGATAGTCTCCAGCTCGGGACAGACGCGGGGCAGGCAAAGCGTGCGCACGAGACGTCTGCAGCTGTCGATGTGGACGGTAAGCTTCGTGAGCTGGCGAAACGCGTCCAGGACGAAGTCCCAGTCGGCCCGAACCACCATGATCCCGGGGTCAAGCTGCAGAGTAAGCTCCCTTACTGCCTGGGACGGCGCGAAGCTCTGCACAACCTCGCGGAGGACCTGAGATCGTGGCGGCTGGGCGCTGGCATCGTCACTCCAGTGTGGGTAAGAGACAGTCATGGACAGGCGTCCCTCGCTCCCGCGTACAAACCCGTTGACGATCACGGAACAGGGAGTTCTGTGCCGCACAGAGCCTGGATCGTGCACTACTGGACGGTCTATTTGCAAGTGCAATGTTGTGAGGGCTGTGACGAACGAAGTAGGAGTGTCGGGGAGAAGGTGGGAAAGGGGGCTTGAGTTGTATGTGACAGAGAGGTTGGTCGTCGGGGGCATATGGACATATTCCAAGAACGTGCGGACTTGAAACTGCGTGTTTTCCTCGTTGATCGTACATCGTCGTAGATTGGGGAGGTAGCACGATCGTCCTGGAGAAGCTGACATGGCCTGCCAGGCCCAAGGTGAGGTCCCCGTCTGCAGGACGAGCTCCTCGAGGAGGGGGCACTGTTGCAAGGAGTCGAGCAGAAGGTCGCTAGAAAGCACGCGCCCTGCGATACACGGTTTGGACCTGGACCCATGGTAATATGTATGACGGGTGGTCTTGATATGCAGGGTGCGTATTGAACCTGACATGAGCATCGGGCAAACAAGACACCCGTCGATATGGAGAGTATGTAACCGCGGATGCCGATGAGACGATTGGGGAAGCGAGATGAGGTCAGCGTGCAGCTGCTCCGTGGAGAGCCCGTCGTCCCCGTAGCTGCAGGCAAAGGCAAGGGTGATCGACTCCAGACTTGGCATGTCCAAGAGTAGAAGATTTCGGAGAGCGTCCAGATACCGTCCGTCGAGGAAGAATGATAATAAGGAGACTCGAGACGAGTGCACCTTAAGAGCTGGTTGTATCGCCACAGGATCGTTGCCCTTGACGTATAGACGGAAGCTCAGTGGAGCAGACCGTTCGATGAAAGACGGGAGAAACTCCTGGTGACGATTACCACCTTTGATAAAGTACAAGTTGTCCCAGGGCGCAAGACCGGACAGTGCAGCCCAAAACGCTGTCGCTGACAGCGCCGCATGGCGCCAGGAACGACAGACGTGCATGACCCCGCGAATGGCTGAACGATATGTCGGACAGATGAAATTGAAGACATTGGCAAGGAGGTCGTGCGAGAGAAGTTTCGAGTGTATAGGAAGTGCGGCGTTGTGGAAAAAGTAGAGGTCGCGGATATAGCGCTGTATCTTGACGATTTCGGCTTCGTATTCTTTGACTCGGGCCAGAGCGACTTCACGTGTCTGACTAGGTCGCAGGCCCGTGAACAAGGCCAGGTCTACATCTGGGAGACGACTTTTGTCCTCGCTGTCTTCAGGGTCGATTTGGAAGGCGACGGGCGGGGTAGTCATGCTGTGAATGTAGAGCCCGTGAGCGCGGTGATGCCTTCGTTGAATATGATACAACTCACTGAAGGCAATGCGTAGTCGTGTCTGGCTTTCTGGTCAAGAGACCCCTCCGAGGTCAACGACTCGGTCTAAGCACGATCACCGGTCAGTTTCGGGTCAGGGTTGTGTATACGCTGCGTACTCACGAGGACGGGAGTCAATGAGTAACGATGGGAAGGAAGAGGAGCTTACAGGGATAGGAACACGTGAACTAGGACGAGGCGAGTCATTGTGGCGCCCGAGTCAGCGGCCATGAAACTGAGTCGGCAAGCGCCGTGAGTCAAGATGAGGCTCATGCGAGTACTATTAGATCTGCTCGCTAAAGTGACATAATATATATACGGGTACAAAGTATAGAATAATGGAGTCACAGAATCTAGTGTAGCGATGTGGCCCTTACGTTGGAACCACGTCTCGGACTTCCGGAAAGGTGACAACCTCTGCAACAACCGCCTTGAGTCGAGCCAGCTGCGATGCTGACATCGGGACATTGGAAGCATTCTCACGGTAACTCTGGTTCTTGAAGAGCATCTGTCGAAACTCCAGCCGCCGGAGACAGAGATGCTTCGAAGCCCCGTTCTCGACCGTCCTAACCAAAGGCTCGTGGACAGCACGGCCCTTCAAGCACGAGATCGAAAGTGTCTCGAGCGTGCGGTTCCGCCCCCTTCGTAACGCGCGCAGGAGGTTACGGCACGAGTCGACGCGCACGGTCAAGGAGGTTATCCGAGTGAACGAGTCGAGGACGAGCTGCCAATCCGCCTGAACGATGGGGATACGGAAGCCAAAGTTCAACTCGAGCGTGGTCAACCGTTCAAGGGAAGCAAAGACGATGACGAGCGTCCTCACCACCTCGGAACGTCCAGCACCGGCAACGGCTGTAGCCCATCGCAGGCGTCGGGGGCCCATTCGCAAGCGCAGCTGACCATCGCTGAATCCTTCGTATGTACCCTCACGACAGATCTGCGACTGCGTTAGGGATTCGGAATTCCATGCCTTCAACGAAAGAGCCTGGAGAGATGCGACGGTGGGGATAGGAGTAGCAGGGAGGAGGGGGTCTTGAGCAGTAATGCAGAGGCCAGTCTTGAGGAGGGTGGTGCGAGGGAACGTGACCGTCTCGAGGATGGCGCGGGTACTCGATGGGTCGGAAGACACGAAAATCTCTTGCAACTGCGGTAGATGGACGACCACTTGCTGGCTGGCAGTAATACGTGATGGCAGGCAAGTGATGAATCGACAGGTCAATAGCGCCGGACAGCGCCGCAATCCGGAGACAAGCGCGCCCAGAGACGACACATTGGTCCTGGAGCACGTCGCGGGAGAGGTGCACAGGTTCCGCGAGCACCCAAACAACCTGAGATGCTTGATCGTAGGTGAGGCCAGGGTGGGGAAGAGTACGCCATTCACTTCGAGAGTGTGGAGACGCGGGAAGTGGTCACCGGTGGGAACCCAAGGACGTATCTTGTCGAGAATCTCCGTACGCATGAGGCCATTGTGTGCCTTGCAAGTGAGATTCAAAACGAGCGTCTCGAGTCTCAGATTCTTGATGCGCAGGATAGAGAAGAGCGTCTCCAAATGGGAGGTGCCAATGGTGAGCGTCAGAGAGGACAGGCGGATGACATGGTTGGGAGCCGTGTGGAGGATCTCGAGGTGCCGCTCACCGCCTGTAATCTGCACTCCCAGCGGAGATGAGCGAATGAGAGCAGTCATAAACAGGGGTTCGCCCTCCTTCCAGCCGTATCTGGGCCTCCTGCTCCTCTCCACGGAGTGCGAGAGAAAACTGGCCCAGAACTCGGGCGTTTTCTGCAGCAGGATTCTCCATAGGCGGCAGACATGCAGCAGCCTGATGTCACTACGGTATTCGAAGGGTAGATGTCGGAAGATCTCCGCAACGAGCTCGGGTGGTAACGCGAGGTGGAGGGGAAGTGCACCGTTATGGATGGAGCGCAGCTCGGAGATGTGATCCTGAATGGTCTTGATCCTCGCGGTGTACTCCTGGACCTTGGCAAGAGACGCTTTGCGGAGGTCGTTGACTGCTAGTCCAACGAAGTCCTCCAGATCATGCTCAGATAGCAAGAAGGATCCGGAGCTCTTGATCTCCTCCAACGTCTGTGAGTGGTTGCGGTCAGTTGGGTGATAGCTTACTTCCACGACTTCGAGCATAGACTCACTGCGAACGTTGCCATCTCGGTGAGAATACAGGTAGCACTTGGTACACTTTCAGCCTAGAAGTTGAGTGCCACGTTGAGGCCGCGAGTCGAGTCAGACTCAGTTGCACTGATCGAGTCAGAGCCTAACGTGTTCCCCACAACAAAACGACACTGGCCAGAAAATATGGGAATTAATAGTCAATGAAAGTGCGAAACCATGAGATGTGCGAGATGTGTTCCTATCCCGAGATTCCTCGCCACGGTAACAAGAACGAGGCTCTGGGAGCCTCGATGAACAAAAAAATGACCACCGCAGGACTCGAACCTGCAACCTTTTGGTGACATTGACCCTAACCCTGAGGAGGTTAGGTAGCCGTCAGGCGATCGAAGCCAAACGCGCTACCATTGCGCCAGGTAGCCATGGCTGTGTAGCAGCTTTAGACAATATAAGCAAGTTTTGCACTGACCGTGCACGTGATGTTGCACTGACCTACGGTCCCGTCTCTACCACCATGTCAACACAATAGGTCGGTGCAGTATAAATGCGTAAGCATATCTCTGACCTGTCGCTCATCCTTTCTCTACGTGAAGCATATACGTTGCCAGCGTGACGGAGGTGGTGAATCCGCTTAGGCTGTATCTTGACCATCCATTGATTGCTTCCTACTTTACAGCTAGTTCTTCACGCTCACATAACTTGTGTCGACCTGTCGGTATCGTGCCACAAACCTGTTGGAGCTTATTAAATGGATCCTTCAAGCGGACTAGTAGCTGAGGGCCCAGAGCCACTCACCTTTGATGGCCTTCGACGGTCACTTTCCAGGACATGGCAGGCCACGAGGAAACTCCTCCGTCGGCCTCTCCGTCCGAGGGGACTCGATGCCACTCCTAACGGACACCGCCCACTCGTCGCACGCTTGCCTCCCGAGCTCATCGACCACATCGTCGACCATTTCCATGGTGACAAGAACACGCTCATGAACCTGTCCCTTGTCTGCCATGCTCTGGTTCCATCCGCCCGCTACCATCTCTTCGATAGGCTCAAGATCTCAAGTTCAAATGTTAGGAAGATATCCGCCCTCTTCGCCGACGGGACTCCGGAGATTGCGTTGTACGTGCGCGAGCTGACGCTCGAGGCTGGCGACGGGAGATCAGACCAGGTGTTCAGCGAGTTGCGCGGCATTCAGAGCGGGAAGCCTCTCCGCACGCTCCTGCGCATGTTCTTTCTCGTCATCGCACCGCATACTCGAAACGTCGAACGGCTTGTCCTCACAGCGGTCCCGCTCGAGAAGAACATTGTGGGAATGCTCGCACCCTGCTTCCCGAAGCTGAACATGCTATCCTTGTTCGACTGTTCGTTCCGGTGCAACGCGGACCTCGACAAGCTCGTGCGAGATCACCCCCGAATACACACATTGCGCGCCGGACGGGTGTGCTCGGTCTACGGGCTGGCGCCCTCCGATTCGACCGACGTCATCGGTCCGAGACTCGCTTTGCGCCAGCTCAAGGTCACCGAGGCGTACTCTCCCTCTCCCCTGACGCTCATGCCGTGGCTCTTTGAGCACTGCAGTCCCGAGCACTTTGTATATACGTTCTACCGCCTTGGCCAGTTCCCCAAAATCAACAATGCAATCATCGACATGAAGTCCCTGACCCACCTGCACTTGATCATGTACCGCTGGCGCACAGATGGTACGCAATGATCATAATTCCATCCAAAACTCAGCGCTGACGCAGCTACAGACATGCGCGAGCTCGAGGCCGAGCCGTCTCTAGTCACCATCATTCCGCCTTACCCGTCCAGGATCACCACGATGACGCTCGACGGGAAGATGCACATGCTCAACCTCGTCGTCACTATCCTCGCGCAGCTTGAGCCGAACTGGTTCGTCCAGCTGCACACGCTCAACCTCTGGGTGCACCTCGATGAGAAGGACGTCAGCAAGGTCGACCCAATCACCTGGACGGGCATGGACCAGAGGCTCAGCGTGCTGCACTCGCTCAGGGTCGTCAACTTCTACAATTCGTGTCAGCGTACGGACCACATCCACTCCGGCACGGAGGCCATCGGAGCGCGTCTGCCCACCCTGAACTTTCGCCGGATGTTGCGATTCCAGGATCTTGAGCCTCCGTTCTAGTGTCATAGTCGACTGGTTGATTGGTAAGTCACTGCTGTACGTCCTCGCTTGGTACGAAGACTGACAATGTGCCAGTATATAGGATTCTCCTCATTCTTGCTATGCTCTGTCCATGTTACTGTCGAATACACGTGCTCTCCTCTTCATCCTTCCCGATCCGGCGGTAGGCAGACATGGCCCTTGGTTTCGGCTATGTCCGAACTGAAGTGCTCCAGACACGCCTATCGGTTGCGAACAATCGAGGCGATTGCAAGGGGGTCATGACAAATCATCACCAAGAAAGTACGAAGCAGACAAAGAGTTCAGGCATGCAACGTCAACCCTTTGTTTCAGTCGAAGGGTGCTTCTCCTTCTCTGAATCCTTCTCCGAGTCCTTCGCCGAGTCATGCTCCGCCTCAGTCTCGAACCCAATGACGGCCTTATCCTCAATGGCGTTCTGCCGGCTGTCCAGACGGAAGCTAGAAGACAAGCGCCGGTCAGCGTCCACAAACAAGAAGCGCGTGCACAGCAGGACGTACTTGCTGGCTAGAAGACCTGCGAGAATGGCGACAAAGGAGATGATGAGAGCGGGAAGGTAGAGGCGGAAGACCGTATCGTTGTACGCCTTGATAACGCCAGTGCGGATGTTGTCGGGCTGAGTGCGCGCGGTGGTGATAGAGCCGTAGATCTCCTCGATTTGTTCGGCGGAAAGGAGACCGCTGAGCTGCGCGGTGAGATTCTTCGGCATCCAGTGGCCCCAGACCGCTGCTGCAACAGCACTACCGATGGCGCCGCCAAGGTTGGTGAGCATGCCGAGGAGCGAGATAGCGGTAGCCATGTCCTGCGCGAAGGTGTGAGCGATGCTAGATAGAGACGCTGATGGAACGTACAGTATGCGGCACGGACGCCTGCGAGCCCACTTGCGAGCCGACGACGGAGAAGGCACCACCCATCTGGAGCGGGCGGTTAGCACTTTACACCATTGCATAGACATTGCAAACCGCACCGAGATGATGACCTGCGTCATGACCAGCTCGGCGTCAGGGTTGCCTCTAAGGCTGGTGTGGAGCCTGAGGCCAAGACCGAGGCTACGGATACACAGACCGATTACCTGGATGTACTTGCTGAACAGGGGTCAAATACAATATCAAGTTGATCCAATCGCATGTTGAGCTCACTAGCGATGGGTAATGCGCATGAGGAGACCCGCAACGATACCGAAGAAGCAGAGTCCGACTGTGAGGGTATTGGTGCTAAACCATCCGTGTTAGTCCGAATTCATCGGCTCGTTGCGTCCAGTCAGGACTCACAAGAAGGTGTAGTCCCTGAGACTCCAGTCCTTGACAACTACCAGGAACGATTGAGCTATCACGCATGGCAGGACGAGAGCGAACACGTACCATAGACCCAAGAAGAGAAGTACGTGTCACCGAGGTAGCCGCCGAAGTAGTAGAGCGCATCTATGATGACACACATAATCTACATCGGAGTAGTGAGGATGAATAGCTTTGACAGGTGTGGGTTGCGAGGCTTACAAAAGTGCGATTCCAGATGCGTCTCGGCATAATCGGGTGGTTGGTGACGTAGAGCTGTGAAAGAAAGTGAGTATTGTATGCCAATAGGTGTACTGCGAAGAACCGACTCGCCTCCCAGAGGGTGAATGCGATCAAAAGGATGCCGCCAACGATAAACATGGCAATAAGCGAGGCTAGGGAAGCTCCACGTCAGTATGTTGTTCCCTGCTGCGTGATGGATAGGACTCACGGTTACGCCAGCCTTCCTTCGCCGTCGTATAGAGGGTGAAAGGCAGGAGGATGAGGGAGAAGCCAACGCCAAGGAGGACGAGACCGAACGCGTCGATGACGATGAGCATCTCCAACACAATCTTGTGCCAACTCTTGCGCTCCTCCTTGCCAGCGCGTACACGAGCGGTGTAGTCTGAAGCGGCAAGCGAGAGTGCGCCCATCTTCTTGGCCTTGATATCAGCCCAGAACATGATCATCAGAGCAGGAGCCATGCAGGCGGGTAAGCTATGGCGAACGGAAGGGATAAGTCGCCATATGCAAAAAGATAGAGATGGTACGAACATGAGGCAGAACATGCCGTAGCCCCAGCGCCAGCCGCCAGTGCCCAGATCGGCGGTGATATAGCCGGCTGGATGCAATACGGATCGTCAGCTCGCTAAAAGTCTCAGACAAGGAGCTGGACGCACCGATGAAGGAGTTGATGATCCATGGAGCAGCTGCAATAAGAACGGATTAGCTCGCAGCGCAGGCACGATACGGTAGAAATACAGACAGTTTATGCCCTGGAAGAGGCCACGCCACTGGAGAGGCGAGACATCACCGATGACAATGGTCGTAACCAGGTCTAGGCCGACATTGCCGACCTTGTAGATGACCTGAGAAAAGAGCAGTAAGCGACAAGCGGTCGAACCCTTGGCCTCGATAATCACCTGCCCAGCTGCAAAAGCGTTGACCGTTTTGCTTGAGGCAATAATGATGTAGCCAATGACGTAGAAAACGAGAGAGAACAAGTACGCCCAAGGACGTGAGACGTGGTCGGCGATCTGCGCGCGTTGAATATATATATATCAACGACCGTTCAAACAGAGACTGAACGCACGGACCTTGGCAATGAAAGGTCTACAGACCGAGCCCATGATGGAGACAGCAACGTCAATAGCTCCCAGTAGAGAGTGAGCTGGGTAAAGCAGAGTAAGCGTGATTCGCATCTATGGATCCAGGTGCGCGCACCTGAGAATGCGGATGTTGCGATTGCATAATAGGTGTACGATACGCTGCTGTCAAGGGACGCGGCGTAGGAGATGAGGAGGATTGAACTGAAAAAATAATCATCAGGTCAGCGGCGCAATTCGCGAAACTGACATCGAACGTGGAAGAAGGGCTTACATGTACAGCGTCCAGATCTTGGTCCCGCCCGCGCCGAAGACACGGTCTGCAGAGGGGTGGGAGACTTAGTATTCTCAGAAGAATCAGAAGACTAAAGAGACGTACACAGCGCTTCGATGCGAGCGACGCCGGGGTCCTCCTCCTCCTTCTTAACCACATCGTGTGGCTGAGTCTCAATGTCACGAGCGGACTTGACATCGTAGTCGTCGCTGGTCCGGGAGGCGGAATCTGTAGCCAGCGAAGACATCATAGCCGAAGCAGTAGGACGCGTAGCCATCTTGAGAGGTTCTCGCGTGAGCCTGGCGGGGACGATGGGGACTCGGAGGGCGCGACGGACGAAAGGCGAGGTAGAGGGCCTTTTATCTTATCTGATAGTATGATATTGAGCGCC